GCTCATTCATAAATGGAGACGATCACAGTGATGTCTATCACTGAGGGTTATTATGGGACGTAAATGAGTTAATATGTTAAACACTTGAAGCAGTGTCTGGCACATGGTAAGAAGTACATAGTACTGGCTGTCATTATTGGTGTTAGTGTTAGGTGGTTGTTTTGTATATGACTAGTGAAAGTGTTTCCTACTTAGAGCTCAGTAAAAATCTATACTGGTTGTTAATCACAAACCCAAAGTATCTAACCCAAGAGGGTTTGAGGAAACACAAGTCATGACCAAGTGCCAGAGGGGCCCTCACAGGAATAAAGGACGTTGCTGAAATGAGTAGGCCTCGTGTACTACTACACTGGTGTGATGGCAGTGGGTGAATCCATCACATTTACATCATGTAGGAAGTGAAATCTTGGTTGCAAAACAAATACCAGAGGACAGACACCAATGTCCAGGCTGCAATAAAAATTCAGGAATGCATGATAACAGCAGAGCCCAGCAGTATATAGGGGCAAATAACAGAGTAAGATGAAGCTTCTTGGGCAGGTTTACCTCACTCCAATCAAGGGACCTTCCCCATCCTTGTGCAACCACCTGCGGTAATTAAAAGGAACAACCGTGAGGATGTAGGTGGCAGTACTGTGGTATATGTCCAGCACATTTTGAGTCATTAGCATACTGCAGATACAATTACAAAGCCCTTGCTTTTGTTTTAACTTCAACAGGAACTACAATGGAAGGGTTCGAAGGCCTGGGCAGGAATGACAGGACTAGTGCTTTTTGCAAGTGCAGAAACTATGCCCGGGGTGATGAGGAGCCTGTGTGGGCAGCTTGGCAGGCTCCAGCCTCCTCCCCCAAGTGGGTAGTGTATGAACACAGTACAGAGCTGCTGGCAACCTGGAGGGAATGCTGGGGCAAGAATTTGTGGGGACTTGCACGGGAGATGGGACAACATGCATCTAGTAATCCACCCATCCATTTATTCAGTGAATATTTATTGAACATTTTTATATGCCAAACTGTACTGGGCTTTAGGTTATGACATACAGCAGACATGGTCCCTGGGCTGTTGACAAGCCATTGGGGTACAGTTGGTAGGCATTATTGTGGGAGAGGTGGCTGTATAGACCACTTCTGAGAAGAAAAAGTAGAGGTTCTGAGCTACCAGTGGCTGAGAAGTCAAACTCCCTGCAAAAAGGGAGACAAACCAGCCAAATTTGGTGTTTTTCTTAAGCAGAATCAATAAATATTGGTTAAGTCTGATGGAGTTCTTTAAATCACAGGATTACTCCCAGGATATGCATCTATCCCATTTCTAAGCACAGGACAGCTGAGTTATGTTAACTCCAGCCAAAGCTTTGCCTTCTTTATGTCACAGGCTCTGGGGACTCAGTTGGGGCAATACAGTGGCAGCCAAGGTGTTAACACAGGACAGGGCCTGGAGCTGCACAGAGGCTATAAAGTTGATTCCACCCTGCAGATCTCTTCAAGGAATAGAGCAAACTGCAGAGAAGCATGAAAACTGTGGAAATTTAAAAGCAGGTTTCAGTTTAACATTTCCGAAGGGCCTCAAAGTCATACACATACACAAAAGGTTTGAAACACATAATAAAATCCATGATAAATAGACCTCTCCAGTCCATCTCTCATCTTATGTCACACTTCCTTGTCCAGTTATCTTCCAGGAAACATGTGAGTTTAAAAATGAACTTGGATCTAATGCTGCCAGCAATGATTGATGCCTGGCACACCAAGTCATTTTTCTTCCAAAATCATCTTTCTTTCATGCTCTTGACACCCACCTACCAAACCTTAGGGAGACTCCTCAACTATGCTGTCTTGACTTTCATCATTTACTGTGCCTCAAGAATTTGTTCTTGTTTATATCAAATTCACAAGTAGGCTGACGGTGTTTTTTCTACTTTACAGAGAGAACTCTGTAAAATCAGAATGTAAATCTCTGTAACAAATGAGAAAAGAAGGTAGTAACTAATAGCTCTAAAGGAAAATAGCCTCGAAAGAATCAGGATTCATCATCCACACAGATAAAATTACTCATTAACCATGCTATTGCTCCATATTTTAAGCATCTCTTAAATAAGATTAATTTTTAGAATGACAGGTAATGCCACTTATCAGGGGAAATTAACAATTTATTTATCATCCTAGATTACATATTAAAATACATTTTATTGCAGTTTAATCTGGCGAGTCAGAATCTTCACCCAGAGATCAATCATCACTATTCTGGTGTGAAGCTTAGGAACTGGTGGAAATGTGGAAGAGGCAAAAAGGATGGGGTGCTGATTCTGTGTGGCCCCCTGTGGACCCATTCTCTAGGCTGTAGGAGGAGCCTGCTTGGAGACAGGGCAGCCTTTTTACATTGTATTTAAGCAACAGCATTTGAACAGACAGTACTGTCCTTTATGATCATTGCTCTAATTCAAATCATATTTATATTCTGATTACAAGATTGATATGTAGTATTTATTGAAAATAATTAGAAAAGTTTTAAAGGGCATCAAAGAGAAAATAGTAATCTTCAAAATCCTACCTCTGGGGACACCCACTTTGTCTAGTAACTTCTTTCTTTGTCTAGTGAGTTTATGCCTACGATGTTTTGAAAGAGGGACAATCTTGGTGGGAAGTGCAAAGGCCTTGTGGTCAAAGTAGGTTGGTGTGCCCAAGGAGGAACAAAGAAGCTAGTGTGGCTGGAGCAGAGGAAGCCAACAGTAAGAAGGAGTATGTTAGAAGAGGTGGTCAGAGAGGTAAATGGGGACCAGAACTTACAAGTTCTTGCAGGTCAGAGTAAGGCTTTGGGGTTTATTCTGAGTGATATAGGAAGTCACTGGGAAGGTATTCATTAAGGGAGTAACATAATATTACTAATGTTCTAAAAGGATCTTCTTAGAAGAGGAGAGGAGGGTAGCACAAGGGTAGAAACAGGAAGCCCATTTCCGTAATCCAGGCAAGATATCATGCTGCTCAGATGAAGATGCAAATGGTAGAGGTGGTTAAAAAGGGGGAGAGGATTTCCAGTTCTGGATGGAACTTGAATGCAAAGCTTAAAGGATTACTGGTAAATTGTGTGTGGGGTGTGAGAGAGAGAGAGGCGAGGATGGTTCCTGTGTTTTTGTTCTGAGCAACAAGAATGGAGTTGCCATTTACTGAGAAGTGGCAGACTGGGTGGGGGAAAGCAGGTTAAAGTCAGGAGAACAGAAGCTTAGCTTGGACACATCACATATGAGATTTCACTTAGACATCTAAGTGGAGGTGACAAGTGGCAGTTGGATTTATCACTCGGGAGTTCAGAGGTGATGTCTGGGCTCCAGAATTAAATTTCAGAATTGTCAACAAGGAGATGGTATTTGAGGCCACCAGGCTGAATGAGATCACTCGGGAGTGAGTGTGCACAGAGATGAGAGGAGATCTGAGGACTGAGTCTCCAACATTCAGAGGATGACAGAGGAGCTGGAGAAGGAGTAGCCAGGGTGGGAAGAGGAGAACCAAGAGGCTGGTATCCCAGAGGTCAGTTGATGAAAGTCTTTTAAGAGGGAGGCAGTAATCAACTATCAAATCAGAACTGCTGCTCGGTAGAGTAATTTTGCTGAGCAATGATATGGCAGTGAAGTCATTAGTGACCTTGACAACAGCAGCTGCTGTGGAAAATTGAAAGTGCAGGGGCTGCATGGGGGGATGGGAAAACAGAAAGTGGAGACAATATGCATAGGCCAAACAGTAGCACAAAGTATATATTCAGTGAAAATCTCAAGATATTCACTGTCATCATTATGGAATTATGAAAAGTCAAAGTATTCACTCAGGAAAGAGGGACATGCTCCTGTCTATGGGCATCTGTGAAGATTGTCTGCTAGGTTAGGGAGGGCAATGATTTATACTACCAAGAGCTTCAGAGTAATGTGTGTTATTGGCACATCTCTAAGGATGGAATTAAGAATGTCCAGTAAAGAATTCCTTTACCATCCATTATTTGTCACCAGAGAAGTAATGCAAAAAAAAAAAAAAAGAGAGAAATAATTTGATAAAAGCAGCTCAGATTTTTCTGGTGGTTTTCACTTTGTAAAAGTTCCTTTACACATGTCACCTGATTCTCACATGGGCAGGGAAAGGAGCCATTATTTCACAGGTGAGGATGCAGGGACTAGGTCAAGGCCGTAGGGGGTCTGACTAGAGGAGCTGGGTTTGACAGAAGTTCTTTTGAGTCTGAATCTCAGCTCTTTCCACTTCGTCATTCTGCCTTTCTTAAAAGGCAGGATTGCTTTTTATTTTTTTAAGCTTGCTTGTAACAATCAAATACTTCCCATGGGTCAGGCCCTCCTTGATGGGCTTTCTATGAATATACCATGTGATCTCAGAACAACCCTATCAAGCATTCATTATTAATACCCTCACACTATCAATGAGGAAACTGGCACAGAGAGGCTAAGCACCTTGCCTAAAGTCACACAGCTAGGAAGCTGTGAATTAGGATTAGAACCCAAGCATTTTGACTTCAGAACCTCTGCTCTGAACTAGTGTTTAGCCATTTCATCTTCTATATAGTCCAACCTTCAAACAGAGAAAATATTACTTGACCACAGTCACATGTTGATTGATGCTGATCCTAGTCCAGAACTCTGCTGATTTTGATCCGTTAAAGGGAATTTTATTGAGCAACCTCTGAGAATCCTACATAACGTTAGGTATTTTGAAGACAGGCACACGTAGAGGTGGGGTGTGGATTTTCCTTTCAGGGAGGTTGCAGCGCCAGCCAGTGTGCCACCAACTGACTCGTTTGGTAGTTTTCACCATGATTCAGAGTAGGAGGGAGAACTACATGGTCTAATCAATTATTATTTAGCAAATATTTCACCCCCAATGTATGGGAAGAGCGTGCTTCTCTGCCTGTGTTGTGCTGGACCATGTGACCTGCTCTGATCACTGAAATAGTGGCAGTTACTATAGGAACAGATTGTGTTTGCCGAGCTTGGCTCCGTCTCTTGCAGTTCTTCCATCTGTTGGGAGAGGATCACATTCCCAATAGCTCCTTCAGCCTGAGTCCCAGAACAGGAGATTCAGGGAGCAGACCTGACTCCGACCGGCAGCCCAGGGCCACGCCCAGCTGACTCCAGGTGAGTTCAGCGGCGCTAACAAGAGCCACAACTTAGATCCATGAATGAGAAATAAACGTTTGTTGAGTTGTTGGAGTTGCTATGCAAAATTATTATGGAAATAGCTGATTAATCCACATGGGAAATATAGACTGAAAATTCATGAATGTAGTTTGAAGATTTAGTTACGTCTTAAAGTAATAAGTTGGTAGATGGTATCTACCTGTGAGTGAGGAACAGATCAGTTTACTGCAGCCCCGTTTACTAGCCATTGTCTTTCCCCTGGGAACCATACTTTGAAACTGATCTTTGAAGAGGAGAAAACCAACTGCTTATCCATCTCTCTTCCTTTTTTTTCTTTTACATTAGACACATCAACCATGATGACTGCCACATCTATAGCCCCATTTAAGAGAAAATGCACTGCAGCTTCTGGGGAGGGTCGGACTTAAGCAGCCACATTTGAAGTCACATACATGCAGCCCAATCTCTTCCAGCTACATCTGATCGGACCAGAGGCAGACCCTGAGCTAAGAGCAGCTAACCCAGAGGCTGGCCTGAAAAAAGTGATTAGCTCATCCAATCAAATCCCTCCAAAATTTGAATGAAGAAGAACCGAAACTTACAGGTTGTGTAAACAGAGATGCAGAGAAAATCAGGCAGAAGCAGAGGAGAGGCACAGTATTCGTAAGGCGTGACCAGACAGTTCTAGAGTGAAGATCCATGAAGCTTGGCCCCAGGAGTTTCTTGTTCAAAGTTCCTGAGATGTTCTTTCAATTAGTGCTCAGTCTGAAGTCTCCCCGCCAAGCCCCACACTTACTTACCCAAGCTAACTTGGAAATATTCTTGCACACTTACCATTAACTCTGGAAAAATTCCTCAGTTATTCCTCTCCTTCACCTCCATGGCTCTGCCTGAGAAAGGAAAGGCTGCAGCCACTTCTTGCCCCTGGTACCTTCCCTCCTCAGGCCAGGTTGCTGCACTTGTTTTGATGACCTTCTGTGATGCTGTAATATACAGTGGAAATGCAGAGAGAATCAATTGAAATAAAATACTGCCAAGTGTGTCCCTTTCAAAGTGAAGGGCAGAGATGTTTTGCACGCTCTTGATTAGCATGCACAGCCACAAAAGCAAGCTCAAGATTCAGTGCTCAGGGCAGACACCTTAAGAAGGTGTGAGAACACGGTGGCCCAAAGGAGGAAGCTGCAGAGGCATGGAGGGCAAAAAGGGACACCGGACTTCAGAGAAATATTGTCTCTTGTGGTAAATTGAGCACCAAGACTGCTTTTACATTCAGAGAGGCTATTCTAATTTCTTCTGAAAGTGATAATAACAAATGAGGTTATTAATATGCCCCATTTTGAAAACTGTTTCATCATCCTTAAATGCAAACTGAGTCATTTGTTTTCATTTGTTTTTCTTACCATCCTTGAGCAATAAAAAGATTTAAGTCGTTCTGTTGTATGTCCTTATTTTGCACACCTCACATGAATCAGGGGGCCCTGTGGATCATAGGTAATAATGGAGCCTGTAATCATGACTTGGGGAACATGTGCAGGAGGCGCCCTCCTGACTCCACCAGATGAGGTCACTGGATGGGGCCCCTCTATGGACATTGTGTCTGGCACTTAGGCCTGCACATTTAAAACCCAGGGAATTACCAGTTCAGTGTATTTATATAATCTGTCCATAATAACAAAAACTGTTTAATTCCTTTATCAAACATAAATAAATAACTCAAGCAATACAAAGTAGCTTAAGTAACATAATTTTCTAAATATAAGAAAGGGCTGGTATCGACCTCAGGGCATTATGCTGAGTGAGAAAAAGCCAGTCTCAAAGAGTTGTATGCATTGTATACTGTATGATTCAATTTATATAACATTCCAGAAATGGCTACATTATAGGGATGGAGAACAGATTAGTGACTGCCAGAATTCACAGATGGTGGGGGGTTGAGGAGGGGGATGGGTGTGGCTATCATGTCGTAGCATGAAGGAGATCTTGGTAGTGATGAAATAGTTCTGTATCTTGATTACAGTGGCAATTACACAAATGTGGGCATGTGATGAAATGACATTGAACTATACCAATTGTGTTAATGTAAATATCCTGGTTTTGATATTGTAGGGAAATTATGTAAGATGTAACCACTGGGGGAAGCTGGGTGACCTCTATGTGTTTGCAGTGTCTGTGAACCTATGAATCTATAATTGTTTCAAAATAAGTGGTTTTTTGCAATACATTTATCTGACAAAGGGCTCACATCCAAATATGTAAAGAATTCCTACCAATCAATAAGAAAAAGGGAAAGAACTCAATAAAAATGGGCAAAAGAGGTTACCCAAATGTCTAATATTCAGTTGTTAATCATCAGGAAAATACAAATTAAAACCACAATGAGATACTGTTGCATACCCATCAGAATGGCTAAAATGTAAAAGACTGACAGTATTAAATGTGATGAGATATGGAGCAATTTGAATTTTCAGATACTGTAGATGGGAATGTAAATTGGGTCAGCCACTTTGGAAAACTGGGAGATGGACTTCCCCGGGAAGCCACCCCTGTGATGAAGCCTGGCGTGTAGAAAGTTCACCAGTGAGTGCTCTCGGGAACAACTCCTCCCAGCACCTGGGAAAGGCAAGGACAGGGAAGAGCAGTATGGAGGTTCGCACAGAGGGGAAAGATGGGCTTCAAGGCAGTTTCAGAAAGACCTCACCAGGAGCGCTATAACTGGGATGGCCATTCAGACTTGTTCTGCGTTGGGGCAAGGTGCTCAGTTTTGTACCCATCAGTCATTGATGACTGATCAGTCATTGGATGTGGGCTGGCCTGGGAAGGAGGTGTGACACTGGATGAGGCACCTCTCCTCAGCCCTTCCTGATGGGAGCTGACTGGGATGGCTGTCCTCCAGCCACACTCCCAACAGCTAGGGAAATAGTCCTTCAGTCCTGTAGGGGGATCTGAGTGGCACATCATAGCTCCCGCGCAATCCGTCCCTTGAACCTTGATTCACTTCATGAAGTTTCAAGAATGACTCCAAAATTCTGAAGGACCTCTTTTTGGACAAACTGTAGTCTCTACTGTTTCAGCTGGGACTGATACCTTCTCCATCTCCTATGCCCCAGCCTGAATTCCCTTTACCCTCAGTGTGCTACTGTGCTGGTTTCAGCAGCTTGTCTGATGGTGTGACCCATATCCTTAATCTGGAGAGAGCGGAGCCCTTGGTACCATGCCCACCTCAGGCCAGGTGGCTGCACTTGTCCTTTTACCCCCAAAGCTGGCCAAAGGAGTATTAGCAGGCACCCACATGGGTCACCTGGCTGTCAGTTATATTATTCTCTGCTCCTCCTGATTGTGTGGGACAGTTATTTCTGTCATAATAGTGACTTCTTTTTTGACTGTTGGTCTTTTGGCAGAAGGAGCATGAAATGTCCAGGGAGAAGCCATAGTTCAATGGTACTGTTGTGGCCCCTAGCAGAAGGGTTCTCCTTTTGGGAACCAGAACCACTACACCTACAGAGCTCAGAGTTGTAGGGATGAGAAGCATAAAATCTCTCAGTATATCGCTGGGAGTCATGTTGTATGAGGCCTTACCTCCTTACATCCCTTGGGTCTTGGGTCAACATTTTCAATCTACTGGGGACACTGCACCATATTAAGGTCACGGATTTAGAGCATATATTGTGTGTGGATAGAACTCCATCCTTGTAAGGTACCACCTCCAAATTGACATGTCAGCTGTTCCTTCGGCAGGCTATTCCATCACTCTATCAGGCTATCTGCTTCTGGGTTATATGGCATTTGATGTAACTAGTAGATCCCATAGTCATGTGTCAGCTTTGCTATGAAGTGATGGCTCACTCTGTAAACCTTGGATAGTAGAGTTGGCTTATGCTCTGTGGGCAGGAAAGACAACCCACATCCAAATATGCATCTATGGATATGTACTATGATGGAAAATGAAGTACGGATTCTTCCAGGGTGACAGGGGTCCAGTGTAATCAACCTGCTACCAAGTAGCTATTTGACCTACCTGGGGGATGGTGACATCATATCAGGGACTTTTCCTCAGTCATTGTTGCTAGGAGGCTGGACATTCGACAGTAGCATGGGGAAGATCAGCCTTTGTGAAGTGGGAGGCACGCTGTTAGTACCACACATGGCCTTCATTCCTACCATGATTAATTACTCCACTCATGAATCCATTGGCACTGGCATTGCCAGTGACGGGCTGGCTGATGTCAGCAGGATTTTTAATGGTGTCCATCTGGATTTTAATGGTTCTTCCATGGACGGTGTTAACATGAAATGCTAAGATCTTCACACTTTGAGCTCATTCCACTATGTCCATCCACATCCCTCTACCCAAGACTTCTTTGTCTCTGACCTTCCTATCCGTCTCCTTCCAAGCCTTTGATCAGCTGACTAAGCCAATTGCCACTGCTCATGTGTTCTAACCTCTGACCACATCTCTTGTTACACAAAGGAAGTGACTGGACTCACTGCCCAAAGCCCTGCATACTGAGAGGATTCCTCTTCCCCACTTTCCTCAAGGTCACCCATGAGTGTGAAATGTCCTCTGTTTTTGGCTTATACTCACATCCAAACCAACCCATGTATGGACTGAGCATAGGCGTTTTTTCTCCTCTGTCGTCTGGTCATAAGGGATCCCCCATGTGGCCATAGGTATGAGCTGAAGGAGAAGCCCTGTCTAGCTGGAGCAATCCCCAAAGAGAGCTGACAGCTCGCACCAGTCCCAGCAGCTAGGAGGAATGCCCTGGAGGGGATGCTGAGGCACACACTGCAGTGTCCACCGGAGTATCAGCTAAGCTCCCTACCCTACCACCCAGACATTCCACTCAGGTATATATGGAAAAGAAATGAGTGCATTTGTCTAGCAACAACAAAAAATGATATAAAATTTTTCATGGCAGCTTTATGCATAATAGCCCCAAGCTGGAAACAACACGAATGTCCATCAACAGGAGAAGAGATAAATTAAGAGTTAGTTGTACAATGGAATATGATGCTATAATATTAAAGAATGGATTACTGATGTACACAGTAATATGAATGGATCTTACACACATGAGTGAAAAATCCAAAACCCAAAGAGTACACTGTCTGATTTCGTTTCTATCATACCTCAAGGACAGGAAAAACTAACATGATATTTGAAGTAAGCATAGGCTTTATTTCTGGTGGAGGTTAGTGGATATTTCCTAAGAGCTTTCTGGGGTGGTGGAAATACTTTGTATTTTGATCTGGATGTTGGTTACATAGATATATATATAGATATATATATGTATGTAAAAGTTCATGAAGCTATATGCATAAGATTCATGTACTTTACGTATTTCACTTTTTTGGTATTTTATGTCACAATTTTTTTAAAGACCCAAATAAACAGCATAAGCAAATGAAACAGAAAATAAAAGTGCACAATAAAGAAGACATACTATGCAGTTCCTGTATAAGTGACACCTCTGCTTTGACCTTCTCAGCCATTTTTAAAGAGACAAAGCCTCAGAGAATAAATACTATGTAAATCCCTCTTTTTGCTGATAAATTACTTAGAGTCACAGTGCTGTGAATTTAACCTATCTGATTCTTTCTGGGGTCTTGGAATTTCTGCTCAACTATCCTTTCCATCTACAGCAGCGTCTTCTGTCGGACCTTCTTGTAGTAATTTCCATTTGTGGGGCAAATCACATTCTACAAAATATAAACCTGCTCCAGTTCCCTTCCCTACATCTCTAAATCTTCTGCAGCTGGCTTCCCTCTGTCTTTTATATTGGAAGCATTTGATGTCACTATTCCTCAGCTATTCTTGATTACCCTGTTACTTCCCCTTCCCCATCCCCCAAGGCTTTCTATGTGTAAATGATTTAGCAGGACTCAGTAATCAGATATTTCAAGGGACCAGCTTCTTTTGAAATAAGACAATTTTTTCTACACAGGATTGAGCTGCGTTTACACCAGGATATGAGTTATATACAGCCTTGTTCCCATGGTGAATATGATAGGCAAGTAGCTATCAGTGCTAAGAGCAGAAGGGTGTGATGGGAGCTTCCTATTCAAATTATTTAACCATTTTCTTCAACTGTGTAATAGATAAATAATTGAAGGTAGTGGGATTGCTGTGGGATTATGTCAGTAGATAGAAACACTAGAACAGTTCCTGACAATGGTGAGCACCTTAAGGAGAATTCAGACCACAGAGCATGTGCAGAACACATCCGTGGAAACCAGCAAACAGCCGGAAAATGTCTCCTGTGCAGACAAATGCACTTCACTTGGAAAGGATTAGTCCCAAACAGGAAGTGATCTCCTCTTGTTAACATGCAAAACAGAGACAATGATTTAAGTTACATAGAATTTCTTGAAAGACTGAGCTGAATTAACTATTAAAGATGCTGGTGATGAATACGCAGGATAATATCAAGGAG